GCGGCGTCTGGATCTGGTCGCTATTACCAACGTAGAAGCGAGCGGGAGAAACGCTCGGGTGAGCGCGACGAGGAGAAGACGAGCGTCTCTCTCCTCGTTCCCGGCAGGCATTCCAAAACAAAGAGCCGCGCGATGCTGGTTCACCGGTGGACAATATGTAAATCAGTGGCTGGCCGTGGTCACGATGTCGCGACCTCGTCGTACTGCTTCTGCCTCCTCAAACCATCACCGCCCAACCAAACCGACTACTAAAGCTTGAAGCTACTCCCCTTTAAGGGTCTGGAAGATATGTAACCATACGTAATGGTCGCGCCAGTGCGAGAAACCTTACAGAGATAATCGACAGCGAAGGAAGGACGGGATTAAAGAGAGTATATTTTCACTCGTGAGAATTAAATCTATTATCAATTTGATAATTAACTCTCGATACAAGTACAAGTTCATTTTTTTGCAGCAACAAATGACGAATATGAATAAATTCCAAACATTTTGCGATATAATTTTTCAATTTTCATCAGTTGGTGAGACCTTTGAACTCGCGTCCTTCAGAGTTAAATTTATATTATTTATTTATAATACTGCGACGTGTATAACGGATTGTGAAAAACTTTTTTCTTTAAAATGACTTCCTCGGAGAGAACGATTCTCGCATCGTTATCCCGCTTCGATGAGAAAATAAAGTGACGCTCATTAAACTTACCGTAAATACAACTGATGTACATGAGAAGTCACTTTTTCGCTTTGGCAACTTTCGAAAACGATCAATCAATCTTGGCGCATCATCCGAAGCTCAAATATTCGCACGACAGGCTGACGATGACGCATTCACCGGTCGGGATGGCTCTGGTTCCCATGCATTTCGCGAGAACATGGTCATCGATATATAGCAACTCCCCACGGCCAACTTCTCGGCGCGTTCCCTATCTACGGCAATTAGCTGTTAAAAGTGTTCGTGTGTTTCACCGGTTATCGTCGTCCCACCCACGTGCCCGAATCCGTTCCCCCGTTGCGTTATCTCGCGACAAAATGCATCTCGTTTGACCGGAACATCTGGCCGAAAAACGGGCTCCGGAGCTGCCGGCGACAGTAGAAAACGTCGTCGTCCGCGCGCAAGAGAGCGATCTCTTCAATATTGCGAAAGAGCGGGTATTTCCATAATGCCGATCGTTCCTCGTCATACGTCCTCCTTCCCCGCGCGGTTTCTCTTCTTTTTCGCGAGTGATATCTGCGTCCGTGTGTGTTCGCGCTTCTAGGAAGCTGTCCCACGGTTCCCACGAATGGCACCTCTTTTCTCTGAAGCCATTCCGCCGCCGAGAGAAATCACGTCGCGATCGCTAACTCGGAATGAGGCGCGAGAGAACATTAACTCCGTTTATCTTTTTTCGATTCATTGTGTCTCGATATTTCTTTGTCATATTTGTTTGAATTATGTCATATGTTTGAATTATGAAATAAAATTTTATTGTTTTACTTGTTGTTTAAAAAAATTATAATATTTAGTAAAATATTGTACTTCATCGACTATAATTCGATGCAAAGTGGTGGAATATTAATATCTACGCTCTCTCTCTCTCGATGAAAGATGTGCGCGCGCGAATAGAGAACCCCTTCGCCAGTCACGTCCTGTCGGCTAACAAGGCAAAATTAGTCGTGAAATAAATCTAGACTGAGTTAGAACGTGGTATTCGCGTAGGAGAGCAGGGGATGGAACCTATTAGCGCGGCACCGCCCCCCAATCAGCAGCAGTTAAGGATGATCGTGTGCCGTGCTCATTTTCCTCGGGTTACTCGGACGACTTCTATGTCAGGGTTTAATCCTCGAACACCTTTGTCAATAGAGAGAAAGAAAAAGCTACTGAAAACAAATTTGTGTGTTTTGTACAAAAAAAAAACAAAAAAAAACGATAAATTTATGCTATTTGTAGTTTTTAGAGATATATATCGAATAACGTGTCGTATTTTCAAGGATAGCACGGCGTATTCACTCTCTCTCTCCCTCTCTCCTCTGCGAGAAACCACTCAACTTTAGAAGACTCTTGTCTCGACATTATTGAAAGTTGTCTTGAGAGGGTCACTAGGAATGTAGCGGGAGGATATTCGAGGATATAGCGAAGACGGGTAAGGACAGGACGAGTCAGATAGCGGGTGATGAAGAAGAATGGACAGCGAGTGGCGGAGACTCCCTCTAACAGCCCATGCGGGCGCACTGTCCTAATTACAACGAGGCCTCCTAGTTTTTTTTTTTTGCTTCTTTTTTTGTTTTTTTTTGTTTTTGTTTTTTCAAGATTCTGAAAGGAGCCGAAGTATTTGCCCGCGGCAATGGCGGGGGCTAGACAATTCCGGGCCGCTCTCAGGACTCATTTGGAGCGAAGTGCAAAAGGAACGTCGGCACATCGTCGATGATGAAGCAAACGAGAGACGCCAAATAATAGTAGTAGAAAGAACAAAGGAGAGAGGGAAGGAAAGATAAAGAGAGATAAAAAGAGAGAGGAGGGAAGAGAGGCAAAGTGTGATTCACGAAGAAAAAAACGGCGCGATTTTCCTAGCCATTCATAATGCCGGTCGATCTTCTTCGGCCGGCCTCTTCTCACGATTCATTCATACCTTACCCTATGAGATTCGATCGTCGATCCCTACACCAACGAAGACTCTGGCATGCGGCTCTTCTCTTTCAGAGATTCGACATGTACGCGCCGGATATTCCCAGATCCCTTTGCAGAAGATTCATCGAGCTCGGTGGCAATGCTTCGGTATTCGGCCGGAGTCATCTTCGTAAGTGATCTCAAGTTTCAATGTAATTATCGTTATAAATATATTTTTTTGCAATAATTACAAAGTCGTTTATGATGAGAGAAATAAGATTTTTTGTTATTGAAGGAAAAAAGTATTTTTTTAAAATTCATTTTCCAACGTTTCTGCACAACGCTGTTCAATCAACGAGTTGAGAAAAAATGATTTTTTCTTTCTCGAGACGCCAGGCAATTATCCCATTGGCTTGTAAAATTTGAGAATCGTATCGCTTGTCGTGCGCGGCTTAGAAAGACGAGAGCCAAGGATCTTTTAATGGCTAGGCAAAACATTGACACCTCGGCGGGCGGCGCTCAGAAGACCATCTGGACTCGGGCGAAGGGAGAGAACTCGGCAAGGATCGTTAAACACACTGGAGTCTTGGCGCACGAGAGAAGTGGAAATCCTTATGAGAAAGTAAGTTGGGCGAGAGCGATGACAAGCGAGCTAACAGCGTGCGCAAACAGAGGCGGCTTGGAACAGAGCCGTACCTGAGTCCGATGATCATGTATTTACGCGTTTCCTCTCAAACACCGGCGACGTCGACAGCTACGGAGACACGGCATCGGACACTGATCATGGGAAAAAGACAAATCCCGGCTTTGTCTCAAAGCCGGCAACGTACGAGAGCGGAATGTTGCTCGAGCAACACGTGCCGATGATCGGAGAATTGCTTCGTTAATATGCTCGTTCGAAAGAATAAATAAGAAGATAGTGAGGGTGAGAGAGAGAGAGAAAGAGAAATGTGCGCATAATGCGTATATATATACAATTAAAAAATTACATTTTTCTGGACAAGAGGAAAAGGGTAAAGAACTAACAACAGTTTGTCGTATCTTGAACGTTGTCTTTGGTTTAATACTTAACAGAACGGGCATTGATTTTCTCTAAGAAGAGAGCCCGGTATATCTCTTTATATTACATATAACACATATATATTTATATATATTTATACATATATATTTGTATATATATATATATTTAACATATATATATATTTATTTTATATATTCGCACTTTATTTTTACTAAATTATATTTACTGTATCTTATCAGATCTGTTTTTATGTACAATGTTTATGTGTGAAGCGATCGCGCTAGTTGATTTATGATCTTACTTCATATATCGCGATACACGGAACGCGCTTAATCCTTGTCCGTTACAATTCTGCTAGATATTCACTTTGTTCCGCATCGACGGAACCGTTTGCTCTTACAAACCGCACGTAATTTGTTGTCACTTGTACGTTATTCATTACTCTTGCGTTCCACACGTGTGTTCTTATAGTTGTATACAAATTGTGTTGAGAAAAAAGACAGAGAGAGAAAATTTTTCAAACTAAAAATTTATCAGTAAAGACTCCAACTAATCATCGCGAAACGTAACAGAGCGTAAATTGTAAGAAAAATATTAAAGAATAACCAAAAGGTGACGAATATTCGGCCATTTTATGTTCCTCTTTTCTCGTCTCTGCTTGTTTTCTCTCCGTCTCTTTTCTTTTCATCATTCAAAACGGAAGCAAGCGTGGATCGATTCGTTTAATGGACAATTAGTCGCCTGAGGATGTTCTATATAGGATGCATATCACAGACGCGATGACATGAGAATAAAAAATTATTTTTGTATGATGTGCGTTTTATATAAATAACAATTTACGCAGAACAATTGCGTCGATGATAAATGCGAACTTCTTTTGTACGCATACACTACTTGTACACATGAAGATTTACGAGAAGTTTACGAGTTTTCACGCCACTGATGAGAAAATTAAGTATGATAATTTACGTCTATTGATGTATTTGTATATTCGTAGACGCATAATGCACAATGATATATGTATATGTAGCAAGACCGATCTTTTTTTTGTTTTTTACAAAAAAAAAAGCACGGCCACGCTGTGTAAGTACCACAAAAGTGTATTTCCGATAGTTTCGAAGACCGCTAGTGTGTAAGGCATATCAGAAAATATGGAGTTTCTTCTTTGATTCAAAACATCGTATAAAAATAAAACGTCGATGGATATAGATTGCGATATAAAAATATATGTTGTACGATTTTCATATAAAAAATACGTGTATATCGGTTTTTTGTTAATAATGCAGTTATAAAATAACATTGCCGAAAGAGAATGTCGTGAGACGTAAAAAAAACTGTAAACTCGGATCGATTAAAAAAAAATAAAGAAATAAAACACATTCTTTTGCCAGTTTCAATTTAAAAAATAAAAAAAATGTCATTGGTATAAAAAAAAAAGATAAAGGCAAAAAAAACTTAAAAAAAAAAGAACTGTATACAATGTGTAAAAAACATAACGTAATACTATAAGAAAATCTCGTGTTTGCGAGTGAGATAATTGCGATCAAAAGTGCGGAAATGGAGCCTCGTCAGGTTTCTGATTAAAGTACTCATACCCTGCAAAGGTATATTGCACGTTAACAGAAGAGAAGCGGCAACGGCACGCGCGCGGCGACGTCGCTGACTCTCGTCTCTTTCCCCTCGCGTCTTCGAAGCCGCCTTTCTTCCTCCGCGCTGCACACAATAACGTAATTAATACAAACGTCGCGCGCTGGTGGTGCTTTTTCACGGTAGCACGCGTGTATGCACGAAGTCTAATATAATATAATGGTATATCCCTGTTTCATTCAAATGCGCTAAGCACTTTTAAGCTCAACTATACACTTTTTTTTTTTAATACAGCGCTATTCGGGATGTGTGTAAAAACTTTCATATAAAAAAATAAAATAAATAATCTGTAAATAAATATGCTAATACAATTAGTTAATAATAGTATTAGTAATACAATTAGTCAATAAATTATTGTGTGTGATTATTGTATATGATTATGAAGTGCGAGAGATGAGTGTCGCTCGCGCCACGATGTTGCACACGTTTCCCGGAAAAATCTCTCACAACCGTGATATTTTCTCGACGATCGAGCGAGAACCTTTCGTAGTTTTTTATGAATACGGTGCCAAAGAAAGAGATTCGATTCTAGTAAACCTAAATCTAGTAAATTCTTTTTCTATTGTTAGTTTTTTTCTTTTCAGCTTAGAATCTCAGCTGATATTAAATTAAACTTCGGATTTGATATCGTGCTCCTTTGTTCTCGGCAATCGGTGCGTTCTCTCTACGACATACGGATTACTAATTAATTTATTATACTTAATTTATATTATTAATTTATATTACTTAAATTTATATATCCAAACGAGCATTACTGGTGACAATCTCTCGCGCGCGGAATCTATCACTTTTCTTTTCGCGCGCGAAATATCAAACGCGCAACGTGTGCTGTTCATCATTGCACGAGGCGTCACGGTAAAATATGAGCGGTGAAATTGCGCATGATCGCGATATGATGGGATGATGATGGTGAACTAAATCGGCGAAAGCCAATAGGCCAGCAACGGCGCGACTCTAATCCTCCTCCTTTTTACCTCTTTATTCATTCATTCTTACACTGTGACATCACACCAGAGCACCGACGGAAAAGCGTTGAGGATACTGAATAGCAGATATGTGTGTTTGTATGTGAGTGTGAATGTGTGAGAGTTATGTGTCAATCTGACTCGTTGCTCTTTTTGTCAACATTTTTTCCTTCGGAAATTCTTCCTGTTTTTTTTTTTGTTTTACGCCATTCTTTTGTTTATATCCAGGAGAGAGTATATAGAGCCTCTAAGTTTGCGCCAGTTTCCTAAGATGAGAAGGACGTCGCCTGGTGACCCTTCTTCGGCTTTCGCCTTGCCGTTCTCAAGATTGCTCCGCTCGCAATCGTTGACCTAGATGCTCGAACACTTGCACCACGTATTCCAATCCGTTCATGTAATCGCGGAAGATCAGCCAGTCCCTCAGTTCGGTCTGTGTCCGCGATTCCTTCTTTCGGAACTCGGATGTCATGATGTCTCGAGTGATGTCCGGACGTGGAGTTAGGCCGCGTTCTACCAGAGCCACCTGAAGCTCACAAAGTACCTGGAGAGGAAACGGGGACACATTAGATCTGTATTTACTTCTCAGTACGCGTGTTGAAACATTTAATTGTCCGCGTGTCTAACGTTTGTTAGAGGGGAAAAAACTTTTGCGTTTCAAGAGCGTTTTGAAGCTCACAAGCAAAACCGAGAACGTTGGATGTGTATTTGATTTCCGTCCGCAAACGCTCAGAAACGCTGTTTTTAGAAAGAAACGGAGAATTTTTTTTCTTTAAGAAGAAAATTGACATGAACTGATCATTTTCGACGGACAGTTTTCCACTATGATTCTGTATATATTCGCGAAGTCTGCGCAATTTATATCAAAGAGAGAGAGAGAGATAGGAAGGGAGTAATAAATAAAAACACGGCAGAAAAGTCCAATAGGAATTTGAGCGCCGAAAGCTATATTCGTCGGAATGGCCGATAAAACGGCAGTTTCGCCTCTCAGCGACGATCCTTAACGTCTCAACCTTTGCGTAAAACGCTCGTAAAACTCGGCGAAGCGCTTTTTATCGCGCTTGCGGCAACAGGAGACAGAATAATTCAGGCTAATTGTGCCGGTGCCTATTGTGAAAGTCGGCGGTTCTAGATTTTTTTTTCATTTTTTTTCTCACCGCGCGCGCACTTAGAAAGGTGTAACGGAAAATCAATCTCAAAAAAAAAAAAAACAACTCACCCCGCGAAGCTTGAATTCGGCCTCCTTGAACTCGTTGCGGAACGAGAGCCCGTAATCCTCTTGATCCCAGACTATCTGCTCGAGACCCACCGCAAATTTCTGCATGTTTTCGTACACGTTGAGCAGAATCTCGTCCAACTAAAACCGAACGACACAGATGAAAATCCGATATTTTTTTTTTTTTTTTTTCAACCCGCTCGCTTGTAGAAAAGCTCGTAAAATATATTCATCCAAAAGATATACTCACTTCTATTTTTTTGAGATAATCTTGGTCGAGATTCTCTCCTAACTGTTTGGGAATTTCCTTCTGGCCGGGCAACCAGCCGTAGTGGAGATTGAACTGCGGCGAATGCAGGCTGCTTAAATCCGACCCGAATGTGTATTCGAGCTGTAAATCAAAGAAGAGAAACGTGGACGCGATTAGATGCCGATTGTGCCACGATCGGAAAAAGGAGTCGGATTTCCGCGTCTCGTCGTTCTTTCGCGATCTCACGGGAATTCGAGAAAAATTATTCCGCGTGGGTGTCGCGCGTTATTGCCGCGAGCGTTTTGCATGTCTCTTCTTATTTTGTTGCGGGAGCGGAAGATTGAAGTATGTGAAACGGTGCGCGTAACGCGCATCTATAGCTACAACCTCCAATCATAAATTACTGAGAAGAGCAATCACTTGTTGCTTTACTTAGCGCGACGTGCTATCTCAAAGAGATATATATATTTTTTTTTTAATCACAAAATACGCACGCAGCAACATTTCACGTTACTCTGCAATGTCAGCGGTAATGCACCTCGTCGCTTCGCTTTGCAAAAAAAAAAAAAAACCGGTGCAAAACAGCTTATTGTTTTTCCGAGTAACCGTCAATTGCGCTCCGTATCGGCGTTAATTTCTCACAGCGACGCCACTGCATGTCGAGTTTAGTCACCGATTGTACAGTGTAACATCCCGTGTGCGCGCGCGCGCGCGAGATCAGTTCTACTGATATTCACTGAGTTCCTGGTACGATGAAAACGCAGAGCGGGCTCGGTCGTGCGAACCGTTTAGAATGAGTAACAACTCGGACAGTTTGCGGGGAGTCTTCGGGCGCGTGCCCTTCGACGTGCGGCGGCGCTGACTTTTCGGAAATACCGAGATGGGTCGGCTGACGAAAACCAGCTCAGTCCCTTTACCGAGAATTTACTCGGAAATTCGGAGCGCCGGCTTCGATGGGACACACGCTAAAATGTGTTTCATCCGGGATCGGTTACGTATCGCACGAGTCATTATGAATCATCCACCGAGGTGGGAGGTGTCGGAAGAAATAGCCAAGGGAAAACGGTTGCCGCCGCAGTTTGCGTAATACGTCCGATGTCGCTTTGCCGCGCTTTGATGTTTGTAATATGCGAGTAGTCGTTTGATTCGAGGTCGACTCGGTGTATCGTAAATAAGGTAAATGTCCCGATGATCGGACAAGTACCGTTAATCGTACATTTATTAGAAAAGTAATTTATAACAAAATTTCATAATATATGCATAATATATGCGCATGTGTTTTGCGCAATGATTGTTCAGTTGAAATTGCATCTCGCGCTTGCGCAATGCTCCGATGCATCAACACCGCGGTCCAATAAACTTTTCAGGCGCAGGTCGTTGGCCTCTTTGTTATGACAAACAATCGCGATATCCGAACCAAGGAGTTTCAAACAACCGTTTTGAATTTCGATATTAATATTCTGCGCCAAAAACGTGTCCGCTAAAAGTGCAATTTACAAAAATGGTTGTTTTTTTTATTTATTCAACCTTACGCTCGATAACGCTTGTTTCCAGCGGTAGATAATGCGTGTCCCATTATCTGCGGAACGGAAGTAATCGCGCGACAACTTGCGCAGCGAGCGCGCGATAACACTTTCGATCGCAAACAATATTCCTCGGATCCTATAACGCTTGCGGTCACGTGTTGCTCGACCTGATAAATCACATAAATGCGCTTTGCGCTCCGTCTCCGAAAACGTGAGCGACGCCGGGAAAACGAGTTTACGGACCGCGACGAGAGAATTGCTCCGCGTGAAAAAAGGGAGAGAGAGTGTATATACGTGACAAAACAAACGGGATTTCGGAAATTCGTGGCGGCTCACAAGGGCGGCATCGCGGTAGTCATTCATTAAACTCATTCCCTCGTTATATGGCGTGTATACGCGTACCTGAGACCGGCGGCTACTCGCGCGACGAGCTATCGGGGGCCCTTCTCACGCCCCGATCGTTATGAAAGCCGCCGGGAGAGGATACAAAGATATCTTTCCGACCCATCACTTTCTATCGAGAAATACTAAATACGCACCGACGATCGTATCACGCCGCGCCGTGATTGCGTCACCGGTCGTTATTGCTAATAATACCAAACACGATAATATCCACCGCGCGAAGCTCCCTCGTGGTGTATACGTAAATGAGGGAACCGCGTAGGTAAATTAAATCGAGTTTTACGATAATTTTGTGCAAGCAGTCCTCTAATAAATACATTAACCTTACGGGACGACCCCCACGCCTACCTACGAGAACGCTCTCTCCGGCCTGACTGAGTCTCTTTCAGGTGCCGAAAAACAACTCGTTTCCATCGTCTTGTTTTACGATGTGTTAGTTACATGCGGCTCTCACGCGACGATTCTCATTTCGTCGGAGATATTTCGAAGATACTCGTTTTGATAGGACGTAGAAGAAAAAAAACCAAAAAAAAACCGCAAGGAAAAAAGCGTCGATCTCTTTGCGCTCCGAAGCGTTTGAATTTTCTTTCGAACCTTTTTATGGCGCGAGATGTAGAAACGCGAGGGAAGATCGCGAGAGGAGAGCAAGAAACGAGCGAAGGTGAAACGAAAAGCAAAAAGTGAAATATAAAAGGAATTGTCGCTAACAACCACTGGCGGCGGACAAATCTGTGGCGCGCGGGTCTTTTGTGCCTCGTAAAAGTCTCGTCGACCACACTGGGGCACGAATAATCGTAAAACCGGGCTGGTGGAAGCCCGGCAGGAAGTAGGCTGGCGAGGAATAGGTACCGCGGCGCTGCCGAGGACCCGTCAAAATCAATTAGCCTTTCCAAGTCTTTCTTCTATGGCGCGCGGCTTCGCTGCACCGCTTATTACAAGTTATAAAATTTCGTGCGACGGCTTCGAGATCCGATCGAATATCCCGCGACTTTGCCTCGCGTTCCCCACGAGCGAGGTGGAAAAACAGAAACGACCGGAGAGAAAGAGAGACAGAAAGAGAGAAAGAGAAAAAAACAACAGTTTTCTGATTCAGACGAAGAGAATCTCGCGACCATTGTTTTTTTCCATCGCTATTCAATCGATCAAGATATTATTATACATCAGTAAATTTATGATTTACATATATCGAATAAAAAAAATCGTTTTTTTTCATTTTTTTTTTTTTTTTTTTTGATACAGGAAAGAAATCAACGCGCGAGTTTTTGGCGTTTTTGTGGAAGGGAGAATTTTTATGACGGTCACGTGCGTTCGGAAAATATGTCATCGCGCGAAGGAGCGACGTCGAAACGTAGCAGTGTCATGAGATATGTGTCGTATGTATCGAGGCGAGTACATGCACTGGCTGGCTTGTATATCCGGTCTGGGCTTTAGTATGCATGCGGTGTGCCAAGTGTGGCGTATAAGCTGCGCCCGCACATTCACGTGGGGGTATGGAGTGAGGGAGAAAGGGGGACAGCTTCCGATTCTGATTTATTGGAATCCTCCGCTTCCGATATTTTATCCGATTCCATCACGTACCGGCGTCTGCGCGCACAGTCCTGAAGACGTTGTCCGTCGCGCGATCCGACTGGCAGACAGTCGGAATCATCGGAGGCTGTTTACAGGCGACGCGCGCAAGGACGTACGATGAACCGCGTATCGTGACAACGACGACGACGACGACGACGAAACTAACAAAAAGTTACGAGGCAAAGCAAACGAGGAAATTAAAATGAGTTGTAGAAGAGAGTCGAGAGTGCGGTCAATAAATCCGCAAGTCAACGACTTCTTGAAAGAAGATCGTTGAGCTTTTCGGAAAAGTTCTTCTCGCGTGAGATCACGTGATCGAAACACACCGCGTGGACTCATCTCGCTGCTACGCGCGCGCGAAAGAGATATATCATGAGACTTCCGCCGTTCTCGGTATCCTCTCGGCTAATCTATTCCTTTCTCCGATAACGAGCGTTGGAAAGTGAAGTCACTGGACCGGCAGACAGTGTGTCGCCGCGGTCGATATCAGCGGAGGGAGGCGAGCTGAAGAGACTTCCCCTGGAATTCTCTCAGCCTCGATTTCACGCTCGGGACGAAGAAGAGGAGGAAGAGGGACTCTTGCTGTGCGACTCTTCTCGACTCGCGCGACACTTCTGCCCGCGCGAGACGATCTCACACGTGCGCAAATTTTATTGTCTTTCTTCGACAAGAGAGCTGCGGCTTGTCCGCGATGTATCGTATTATGCGCTGACTTGGAGAAAACATCGGTATCCGGTAACGCGATGATGTAACGGCTTTCTAGCAACCTTCGGCTCGCGAGGGAGCCCTACGGCGATATACGGAGCCTAATAATGCGAAGACGCGCAAATAACCTTCCTCCCGATGCACGCGACTAATGCTAATTCGCTCGGTCATGTACACTCGCCTCTCGCCTAGACAAATACCGTTCGCGAGAGAATCTTTGTCTGGTTTTTCTCTTACAAACGACGTTCTCTCACGATCACGGATGTTTATGGTCTGGGTTGCCATTGTTCGGCAAAACGCAGCCGTTTAAGGAATTAAAAAAAAAAAAACGTCGTATTCATGATTAATTGATTGATTCAGAAAATACGTCATCAGGTCGTAATTAATCTTCCTACTTGTTTTTTCAAGTTTTCGCAATTTTCTTCGCACACACTTGCGGTTACGCGCGAAAATTTATGGATCTCGAGCGAGAAACGTGACTAAAAATCGCGCATGCGAAACATCGCTTCCTTGCGGTTTTCGAGTCGGTCTCTTTTTTTGGATCGCTAGAGAAGAACCTTGAGAAGAGAACCTCGCTCGGGTCGGGTGCGTGATTTATTGTCCTTGACTGAAGATAATAAGGTACGATTGGTCGAGAAGATTCTCTTTCGAAACGAACATTTTTCGCAAGTCGCGCGTGTTTGTCATAAAATGTGCGTATGAATACTAAATGCGGCATATTCCGAAATTAGAGAACCGTTAAAGAAATACGCGAGTAAGACACTTTATATATTATATTCCATTTTAACGGTTTGATTTATATGTTGCGGTCTGAAATTTAAAATTCACTTTTTTTTTGTAAACAAGAAGCAAAATAGCGAGACTGAATTTAATGAAGTTAACGTGGCGTGGGACGAAGACACGGGCGCGATTTACAAAATCGACATCTTTTTTGAAGGTCTATGCGACGGTCTCGTGAAACACTACGATCGATGTGTGTATGTGTGCGAACGACCGGAAGCACTACCATAACCGCCTTCCGCTCGAAGGTTCTCTCACTCCACCCGGAGCGAAGTCCCCACTTAAAAGTCTCACCGATAATTATCGATCGATTGAGTTTAATCTTTCGGTTTGAAACCACCGATATCTCTAGTTTACGCGTTTTTTTTTTTTTTTTTTTTAGAGATACATATCGTGGAATTGTAATAAACTTACATATCTGTCGCGGAAACGTTCCGCATGATACAACGCTTGACTGGCTTGGAGCACTATTTGCTGTATGAGTTGCTCGTCGGGAAACTGCACGACGTCCAGATCGCCGTCGAAATCCTCCGAAGCCAGACCGCACGGATTTACCCATTTCGGGGGTGTGTTTAGCCGTTTCTCCTCGAGAGTCATCGGAGCGCCTTGCACTGATAACACGAAGAAGTTTACCAATAGAAACCCTGAAAACAAACAAAAACAAATTTTTTAATTTTTATTTGTTATTCTCACGCTGCTGCTGGTGATATTTGAAAAATGCAGGCTATAGAGAAGATTGAAGTAATCAAAACGGTTACGTTAAAAGTACAGTTTTATCGAATGTTTGAGCGATAAACGAGCGCCACGAGATTGGGACCTATTTCTCGATCGAGAGCATCTCGTACGTAAAGGCATTATTAACGGAATTGTCCGCGTATTTAAAAAACAAACCAAAAACAAAAAAGAGAACGCGGATACAGCTCACTTGTCGGGCGGTAATCAACGATTTGACGTGTGTGTGAGAGAAAGGGAGAGAAAGAGAGAGAGAGAAAGAGAGCCGCGAGATACCTGCGTGAAATTATCATCGAGCTTCCGGCTCTCCTCTGTTTTCACCCTCGGGGATTCACTCGTCGATAGTAAGCGCCTAAATGGCAGATTCCGATCGGGGCCGTCTTATGATCATCCGGCAGTTTCAGGGATCACCGCTCGTCGAATTACGTCCCCGCGAATTCGTCGTCGCATTATTACGCGAGTTACGACCCTTGATGAGGGGCCTCGGATCACGTGCAAGCCGGCAACGACGACAAACCGTGTCCACGGTTGCGTACGCATTCGGAGGATGAGTGTAACGACGGGCAAGCTACCGCATATGATGTGTCGACTGCATTTAATCCGTGCCCCCTTCCCCTTCTCTCTCTCTCTCTCTCTCGTCGTTCGAAACGCACGTCGAGATATTTGAAAAATTTGGATATTTATCGCGAGAGCTGATGTATCGAGGTTAAAATCGTTTTCTCGATCCACCGGATCGAGAATTTCTGAATGAGTAATAAAAAGATTTTACATATGTAAAAATCAATGATTTTTCGCGCTAATTAATTTCAACGACGTGCAACGCGCCCGTCGATTGTCGATCGACGAAGAAGAGAATCGAGAGGTTTCATCGTTCGGCGAAATAAAAATTAGGCGCGCAATCGCACAAAGCGCCGAAGATGCGCCGCCTCGTAGACGTTGACGAATTTAATTTTAATGTGCGAGAACGCGCGTACACACGCGCACAAATGTGCGCGAACGTGTTTGTGCGTCGTGTGCTGTATGTACACACATGTGATGCAGCGTGGCCGGCGGACGCGCCATGTGAGCGGACGGAGACACAGAAGTGCAGACAGAGAAAGAACGAGATGAGGAGAAAACTAGGAGCGAGACGAGAGGAGGGAGACGCCGCGGACACTTAACGCATATTAATGAGCGGCTCTTAAGTGCGTTCTGCGTTGCGATGAGAGAGCAATTTGCCCGCGCGGAGAAGAGTTTCGCGCCCCAAAGCGACGACGCATAACCGCGTGTCGATCCGCGACGTATGTATATATACGTTGTCGTAACGCAGTTCTCTGATCACAAGGATGCGCTAAACGATGAGTTTGCACGACCGACCGCGCGAGAACGCGATTATAAAGCGCGTCGATTCGATTCGATTTGCGCGATGAAATTTGCGCGAAAGTCGTACAAATAAACTAAACGCGGGAAATTGTCGCACAATTTAAAGAATTGCGCGAGACATATTTATATAAATCGTATACATTGTCTCTATCGGTTTATATATTCTTTTTCTCGCAATTCCGATTACATCAGACTCGCGTAACGATAATCTATTTTTGCGCTTTAACTTTCGTTATTGAGAAAAAGAGAATCTTGGAACACATATCGGGAGATATCTCTCTCGGGGAAGGATCCAACAATCCTGACGTCCAATCAGTGTTCGCTAATGATGTTGGGAGAAACACACGCGTGAGTGCTCTCTTGCAACTCCACTTTTCACCCATATACGAAAACGTTCGAGAAACGAGATCGTTGTTCGCGCCGCAGGTATTTTTATCGTCCTGCGAAGAGCTCGCGCAGCAGTTGATCCACGTAAACGATCTCGGTATTCGCGCGCGACCGTATCTCCTTACCGGTCGCTCAAAGGCGTCGCGCACTTTCTCTTATTTCTTTTAATTACGCCGTCTTTTTTTTATCCGCCCGCCCGGACATTTAATCGCTATGCTATTAGTCTTCCATGATCGGTCAAATTTGTCGACAGAGAAAGGGACATTTCGCGCGCTTATGATACGGGCAACGCTTTCAGACGGGTTTCGTAGCGCGAGGAAAGAAATTCAAACGACAGCCGGCCGCGCGCGAGAGATCTCGCGTCGCCGCGCGCTCAGAGAGAACTTACACTCTCGTATTTACCTAATCCAGGAACTACGCGCCGCGGAACTTAATTGTTTTTCGCAGAAGCATATTAGTCGGTACATTTCGCCGTGTAACGGAAATAAAAAACAAACTATTGTTCTCGATATGTGACAATTTTCGCAATTTGCGCTTTTTTCGTTACGAGCGGATAATTCGCGCGGTTGACAAAATTCGCGAATTTTTCACGAAAAATCGCAAACTCTGACGTTTGCTTTTTGTCAGTCGGTCAAGAAAATGTCGGCGGACTCGCGCGCTCCGTTTTACCCGCTTTTATATTTTACACCCGCTGCAACCGCCGTCGTCGCCGGGTGTACACCGAGGGCCTACCTCAACGACGACGACGCTTTCGACGGCGTTCCATTTGAAATTCCTGAGTTACCCGCGGCCGCGCGCGTTGAAAAAAAGTACGGGTCGCGCAAAAGCCGGCGCGCACCGGTGCAAAGCGCATCTCCGCGCTGTCGGCCGGCAAGAAAGACGGTTGAAAAATGCGGTAATGACGCACTGTCCTCGCATTGCTCGCGACAATTATACCCCATTACGACCGACCCGCTACTCCCTTTTCTTCCGTTCGCGAACGAACGCGCGAACCCGAGGCGCGCGCGTTGCGGTAGGTCGCGCGATGTTACACGTCGTCGTTGTCGTCGCCAATGTGCCGTCTGCCAATTTATTAGAGATTATTTTACTTGGCAATTTCTTGTTGTCGCGAGAGGAACAAAACATAGCCGAGCCGTGCCGCAAGTCCGACATTTGTTGACACAAGACCGCATCGGAAAAAAAACGTCGTCTACCAAAGACAAAACGATCCGTCGTTTGCTGCTCGCGTTAATGACCGTTTCGGAAAAATATCTAAAATAACAGATGAATTACTTTTTAAAGAGCTCCGGGATTTTAAACCACCTGTAGAATCAAACTCCGAGACACTCCGGTGTGTGTGGGTGTGTGAATATGTGTGCTCAACAGGTGGGCGTCGACAAATATAGCTTATATACTGTTGGCACGAGACAGTTTTAAATTCGCATTCCCGGGAATCTGGAGCTTCGATTACGCGTTATGAATTTAATTGAGAATTTGGAAGAAAAACGGATGAAAGAGAGAGAGAGAGAGAGAGAAAGAGAGAGAGAGAGAGAGAGAGAGAGAGAGAGAGAGAGAGAGAGAGAGAAAGAAAGAGAGAAAGGCGCGCACAGGGAGATTCGCAAGTCCGTAAATGAAGAATCGATAAGAAGGACCGTTACAAAGGATGACTAATACGTTCATCTACGGCTTGCTCGAAAAATGACGTCAAACTCGCAAGAGAGACCGCGACACGAGTGAAACAATATATCGTTCATATCGAAAAAAACCCGTGGGAGAAATTTCGCTTGTAAACTTTGCATTTCTCTTAGTTTGCTCACACGTAAGAATATTTATTACACAAACAAAAAAGTTTATGTGTAGAAAAAATTTAATTAATTTTTTAAACACAAGTGAATTGTTAACGACAGATAAGGATAGATTTGAAAAAAATAAAACACAAAATAAAAACGAAAACGAAAAAGTTACGAACTATTGTAAAATATTAAAAAATTGTGACTTTACGTATTTAACAACAATGTATAAGATCTCTAGTGATGACACTTGAATCGTGAGCGCACTTATGAATTGATAAGTACACTCGATGGATGTTTTCTAATGGCATCTGTCACACGAGACGATTAGATTTCGAGATACGCACGTGCAAGTTTTTTTTTTTTTTTAATATATCGAGTCACATCCGAGCGATTAGCTTATCGAGTTATTTGAGTTGCACCTGATAGAGCGAATACCGACAAAATATACAAGAGTAAGTGGAAAGTTCGGCCAAATTCTCGGTACGAGCGTTCCGTGTCAAGGTAAATATTCGCAAAGTCAGTGTATATTTCCCGCGGTCTCGAAAGTTACGAAAATACAATCGTTCGTAGGGATGTGTGTGTATACCTACATATATATTTGTCAAAAGGTTTGTACTTAATGACCCAATAACAACAACAGGCCTGATGCAAATGAAGCAAATCCCGATATGATTTCTAAATCAATTCGTAGAAAGCCTTGTGTGTCTGCCGGAAAGAGGATGCAATTTTTATGTTGACAACGACCACGCTGCGGCGACGATAGGACACAGTTGTAAAGCGTTGCAACAACCAAAATATTGTTCCAATGATTACGTAATCCGTGTGTCTTGCAACATTGCGATCTCTCTTGTCAAAATCAATCGATCCGATTATTTTCGCGCGAGAACGTTTAACGGAAGACAACTTCTCTTTTGCGTGACGTGATTAATTTATCGCGTTGATTTTTATGTTGCGTTAAATATAAAAACGCGCTTTTATTATTAATCATTAAAAATTTTCGTGTTTCCATCGTTAATAGTTACGTTAAGAAAATTAATACTATCTCTTTACTGCATCAACGATTAATATTTTATCTCTGCTCACAATCGCATTGTCGATCGCTCCCGATCTTCAACGCGACGATCGTCTACTTACATAGACACGTGGTCAACGTGAATCCTCGGTCGTCGTTAAATGTCGTCGACGACGTGAAGTGCGAATCGTATGGCAAGTATTTCAAAGCATATGCTGGCTTCGTTCGGTTCGTCGTGGCTTTGGTGATGACGTCCTGTTGGTATTTGGTTTTCTCCGACGACAACGTCGTCGTCGTCGTCGTCGTCGTTGACGGTAACGCGTGGAAGCGCAGCCTTGTACGGTCAAGGACCCGGTGGAACGTAGTCCTCTGATCGCGAGCGAGTATGTTCTCCATCTTTCAAATTGATCGATCGATTTGCCACAATCACCGCGATCGCATAACACAGAATGTACCACAGTGTTACTGTGGGGTAACACTCGCGTGTTTAAATTGCGCAGGCGGTATCGAAGCGGCGGTATATCTCCCTCGCGGCGGGTCTATTCGCGTCGCGTGTATGAGCAATAGGAAACGTACACGTGCGTTTTATAATAGTGCGCAACGGATACGAGTTGCCGCCGGCTACGTCACCGATTGCTTCGTCACTTCGCTTTGAAGGGGTTGTCGCACTCGAAAAACTGTCTGCACAGAAGTCCGTTTGGCACTGCTCCCAGCACACGCGATGCACTGATTCTTATACGAGGGGGGGTAGGGGTGTTGTTGTGGGGTCCTGAGAAAGGAAGGGGGGAGGTGGGTGCTTGACAAGGTGGCGGGGGTACTCAAGAAGAAAAGGAAGAATATCGGTAGGCTATCGGATTGATGGAACCTTCCGTTTGTTCCTTCGGTTTTTCCTCTGTCTCAGAAATCTATGTCGACATTTGTGCTTTTACCTTCAATTTATCACGGATTGTATGGATGACGCTCTTTTTTTTCCAAAAGAAATGTCAAAAAATTACCCCCGTAGTGCGTGGTAGGAGACCGGACAAGAAGAGAGCGGCCAATCGGACGAGCGAACTAATAGAACAGCAGTCGAGCTGGTCTACAAGAGACAAGCTATTCGTTCGTCGTTAGGCAGGAGTGAACCTGTCTAAGGGAATGGTAGACTTCTGTGTCCGTCTGCCTTGGACGTGTACGTAGATCGCTTCTCGCCGTCGCGCTGTCCTTATCTATTGTATTTCTCTTTTGTTCTCCTTCCTTCCTTCGTCCTCTCTCTTTCTTTTTCTGTCCCTCTTTTTCTTCCTTTCTTTTTCTCTCTTTCTTCCTGTCCCGGGCGCCAACTCTTTCACTCTTCCTATCACCTCGTGCGCCCCCGATGTATGACTGTCAGTGTATGGTACTGGCCACTCAGTCGACCGGTGCCTATATACGATTGTAAAGTCACCGGAGCACGTGGCCCGCACCCCGCTTTCGGCCAATTCCCCCACCATCTTGTCGCTCTCCCTCGATCACCCGCGCTTGATTACCTCTTCTCGTCTTCTCTCTGTTCTTTTCTCCTTCTCTTTTGCCGTTGTCGTAGCCGCCGTCGCCACCTCCTTCGTCTCATGTATCTCTTCCCTCCTCCTGCAATGCTGCTTCTCCAGCACGACTCCTGACTCCCACCTCCGGGATCTGGTGGTTCAGGACTCTCCGCGACTCATTCATAACTCCCCGCGGCCGAGCGGCCGTCCCCCACTCGCCCGGCCCCCACCATACGGTAACGTAGTAGGTGCTCGTCACTCGCCAAGTGAGTGAGAACGTTGATTCAGATGAACTATGTTGCACTGTCGCGCCACACACTCTCATAATCGGAGTAAACGTCTGCCGATTCTCGATTGCGATCCTGTTGTGCGAGTAACTATCGGCTCTTTTTCTTCTTCTTGTCAGCTTGTATATATGGGGAAAAAAAAAAAAAAAAAATCGACTATCTTCGTGACTTCGTAGCGAGAGTCATTGCTACTTGTTACATTTTTCTTCTGATAGCCTGTGATGGTCTTTGTACTTTTACACACTTTTATCGAATAGAGTTTCAGCTCAAGATGTGAAAATTTTGTTTTTATATAGTCTTCAATATTTTGTTTTAAATATTTTTAACATATATTTTTTAATTTATATTTTTAATATATATTTAATATATATGAAATTTAAATATAAATAATATACTTCACTATTTATAAATAATATATTTCCTCTGGCACAATACACATGAGATATTATTTACGTTATCTAATGAACAACATCTTTCATGTGACGTAAGCATACTTCTTTAAAACGAGCTAAATTAGAAGATTCTAATTTTGGAATTGTCTCCTATATTGGAATCTTAATTATTACGCACGCGTGCGTCGCGTCATTGGCACGCGAGCGTTGTTTTTCTTTTTCTTTCATTTCTCACATATGATCGCGCAGGATCATACGTAGACAGCCGGTTGACTCGTTCTTCGTAAAAATCATGACATTAATACATTGTTGCAGATAAATTGAATCCGTCGACGGAAGATAATTATAGCAGCAGCTCCGTCTATAGAGAGACGGACGTGTGCGTCAGTGGTACGCGCGATTCCGCTAATTGTTGCCGTCGACGAAGACGTGACACCATTCGTTATCCTCGGTATGTCGTCGAGAATCTCATACGTTCGCAGCATCTTCGTAGTGTCAAGTTTCGTGATCGTTACAAACAGTTCACGACATTAACGAACGTCCCGTTAATGATAGCAGATCACGATTCTTCTCTACGTCAGAACGCGTACATGTATGATGTTAACGTAACTGGCGATGTGACGTTGATGGTAATTATTACGTTGTAAACTCGTAACGTTCTTGTGCAATCACGTCGATGAAGCAGTAAAAATAGAGTCTAGAACCATTGGTGAGTGTCTCGTGATATAAATTATTAATGACTCGATATATTTGTGTCTAGATATTATCGTTTTAAGAGTTTCATTACATTTGTCAGTTTTGTTTATATTTATATTTTGTCTCACACATAAGTCAATATATCATTGATTTATATTCCGATTGAAGAAGACTATATTGTCTAACATCCCTGGTTACTCGAAACGATCTTTTTCTTATTTCGAAATTGTTGTGAGCAAAAGCGTATTTTTTCGATTATAAAAATATATTCAACACTAATAAGATGCTTTATTGCAAAACGCGCGGGAGATCCCGCGTCGGACCGAGTGGTCCAGGTTCTCCTCTCGCGCTTCGAATTTTCCCTACCACAACTCTCTCTGTCCCTCTCCGCTCGAAACCGCGCGTCCATATCCTCCTTCACCTCCCACTTAAAGTCAGTGATGACGTTTCCTTTCACTAGCTCTCGAATGCTTACGTACATTGCGTACGTCCGGCCTGGAAGCGCGCCTACAAGTGCTTGCGCGACGCAGGCCGCGCGCGCGCTCGGTACTTCCGAAAGGATTTTCTCAGAACGCGCGCCTCAGAAGCAAATTAAGATTCCGACTGACAAATATTTTCAGGGAATTTAAACCTCCGGATATGATGCATTGTAGTGACTTAGACCCGGGAGTAATTCCTCTAACGAGGATATTTCTGATTAATTAGTATAATTAAGTCAAACGCGTGTGGTAACGCGCTCGCCACAACATTGTGCAATCTTTCATAAGACGGTTGTAAGAATTATGTAACCTCTCGACAACGAGGTGACCGCACGTACGTACTCGTTGAACATATAATTAAATTGGCAGTATTTTATAATACTACGTTATTTGATCACATAGTATTTGAATACCGTACGTGTCGTATACCGCATTATTTTGCTACACGGCATTCGAATATGTTGCGAACACATAGTATTCGAATTTCGTCATCGGCCGTTCGAAAATCAAGCGGCGAACGGACACCGTTGTAAACGCGGTAGGCGTTTTATAGATTTCGATGTCACCGATATTGCATCAAGCAGTGCAATCAATGAAATAGTTTACTCACAACTTTCGTTCACTCTCTTCGCAACAACTTTCTTTCTCTTTTTGCGTAGTCTTGCGAAAAAGTTGTCTACTGCAATGACGCCGCAAGTTTCCACCGCGTGAATAGTTGCAGGAAAAAAAAAAAAAAACATTCTGAGATTGTGTCAAAGAGTGCGCATTTTTGATACGACACGTTCAGCTTTTAATTTCGACGCAAATAACATCTTAAATTTGTGTTGTAGAGGAGCGACTATTGAATGGCTGTTGTCCGACAATCGTGTCGTGAGATAACAACTGACGGGACTCTCTTGTGTGATGTAGTCCCGCGGTAATTTTGTTTTTATTTGGAAATTACAAGAGATGTAACAGTAACGCAATTTTCTTCGGAAGAGCGTAGTTTTTACGATTAAGCGACACCTCGCTTGGTTTAATCTGTTTTTGCGGAGAACGTATCGATGTGCGCCTGATGCGGTTATCGTGATTTGATGAACAGAATGCCATTCCGCTGCGTGACTATCGGTGAAAATTGGCCATGTCTCGACCAAGCTGCTTACTTGACATTGCTCACACGGGTGTAGCGAATAAAAACAATCACGTGGCATTATTGATAAAGGAACGTGGCACTTGGCACGAAGGCGTGCCACTACCGGAAAAATCGTCGAGAGGCGCGACCTAGGTTAACACGGCGACACTTGTCTCATGTAAAAGACGAATGTAATGCCGAACGCGATGTACGGAATTTATTGATACAAATCTAGTACGTGATTTGAATATTGCTCGGCCCCCACAAATGTATATCGCGTCGCGTTCTACGTAATTTTCTTCGCTATCTCCTCGCTACGTTCAGCGATCCGGTTTGTTGTTTGCAAATACGCTTTTGATTTACTCATCACTTTGCGCGATTAGTCAACAAAAAAACAAACAAGGGTGCGCGAGTGACACATTGTATTGAAAGACGCATTTCAATTTGAAGAATGCTCTACGTGATCGACCTCACGGATCCGCGCGTTTGTCAACTTCGCGTAAGATCGCACGCATCAAATGCGAAAACGTTACGTGCTCGCGTTACGCGAGGCTCGTGTTACCGAGAGGAGTGCGCGCGGAAACTTTGACCGATTCAAATCCGCGCGTTAGAAAACAAGTAAGTGATTTGACTGCGCGAATTTGCGAAATCGTGTGTCTCTCTCTCTCTCTCTATCTTTATCTCGTTTTTTTTTTATTTTTCACACACGCCTGCTTGCATTTCTGCGCCTCGCTCCGCGATTTTTTATTTATCGCACGCGATTCCCCGACATGTTTTCCGTTTCTCGAAACGTACGTGATTTTCTAACGGAGAACGCGAGAACGACATTGCAGGCGTATATATCAAAAATAGATAGAACACTTGAGGAATTTTCAAATGAGAGTATTTTTCGCGATTAAGTAGACCGCGACTCGATTAAAACTATCACGCGCGAGAATCGTAACATTTGAAACAATAAAAAAATTCTTCTCCGCTCAATATTCTTCGTCGTTACCTATTTATCTGTTGGGCATGACATGTGTCTATTCGACGTATAGTTTGCGGGATGACAACATATTTCAACACACTTTCCTCATCATAAACATCAAACTTCATTTGCTAGTGACGTAATTAAAGTATGCACGTTCGATTGATCTTCTTCGAAGCGACGTGCGCCCGAATATTATATCTTCGAAAATGACGTAACTACGATGCGACACATAAAAGGGTTCGTGATAATTCAAGAAGCCAACAGCTGTTGATCTCGTGAGAAAACGATCCTACGATATTCTCTCTTTGCGCAGCCAAAACGTCAAATATACGAGCTGCGCAACAGTAACCAAAAGTTTGTTAATAGTTACGGAAAGGACAAGTAAAAATAAATACATTTATGCGTTTCTCTTCGTCTATGGGGTCAAAACGAGAAACCGGGGTCGTTAAGTGATGACTAGACTCTGCCACGGGCTTACGCAGAAGACGTACGCGATTGTGCGTCGTCCGGCAAGAAAACGAAACGAGATCCGACGAGTAAGAGCTTGTCCGAGCTTAAATTAAATGATTCAATATCGTCATTGTTTCACTAGAAACGCCGCGCGTTTTCCATCGAAATTTGCGTGCGCAAACGCCCGCCCGCCCGCGTGTGTGACAAATTTATCCTCGTCGACTCTGCGCTACGTGAGATTGACACACACGGGACTCCGTTACTTATGGAAATTAGTCTAATTTCGTATCGCGGACTGGCCCATTACGCTCATATAGTCACGCATCAACGCGTAATGTCCGTCATCATGACCGATAATCACTTCGATGAAAACACAAGAGGAGAATCGCGGGAATTGCACGTCGCGCACGCGCGAAGCGTCGTTTGCGCGAAAAAAAAAAACGAGATATTGTTTCTCAAGGCGAGGCTCGCAATTGTGTAATGCAAGTATAATATATACATGTATATATATATATATATATATATATACATATATATTTAGTACGGTTACTATGTGTATGTATTGCCACGTCTCTCGTTGAAAAAGAGAAAATTGATTTTGCAAACTCGCGGAACGTGTTTGACTAATGATTTTCTGTTCGATCGTTTTGATTAATAGCAATATTTTAATTAATGTCTCCGTAAAAAAAATAAAAAAAAAAACGAAGCCTTTAGCGGCGTCTTCACACGAGCTTCGCTTCTGTCTCTCGGATTATGTACATATTTAGCGTGGCGCTTTGGATCGCGCACATGAATCACGCATATTAATTCTGGAATGAAACGCGCGGGAGATTTTGAGTCATTAATAAAGCAATCGGAGAAATGTGACCCGCAATAACGCGCGATCGCGTGTCGCAGTCAACATTTGTTGCCGCTGAAATTTCACGCACAGCTTTTCATGTTTATTGACAATTATTTAAAATATTTGTCATTTTTTTTGTAATTTGAAAAAAATAGATTTACAAACGCGCATCACATCTATACGACAAATTTTTATGATTTTTTTTCAATCATAAAAGCGTTTTCTCTTTTTTACTGATTTTAAGTTTTTTTTCTTTCGATCCTTTTGAAGCAAATGTTTACAGATTGATGATTCGATCGATATCGAATCGATGAAAAACGAAAATTGATAAGAAGAAACGACATCGGCTAGTCAACAAGGCTAGATCGATCCGCGATGAAGGGAGGTTCATTGTACCCGATCGAGTACGGTAATCTCGAGCCGGGGAGAATGCACTGAGGGTTTCGGAGTCCGCAACCGGTTGCGGATTTTGCGCGCATTCGGAGCGCGTACGGGCGCGCGCGCTAAAAAGCGACGTTTAACCATCCGAAGAGTGGAAAGGACAGGGGGCAATTTTTCGAAGGAGGCAATTATCGATTCGTGTGGTCCACGGCGGCGGATTGCAAGAAGCGGATAGAGACATCGGCCACATTCCACGGGTACGAAAGGCACGCCGTGAGATCCCGATAGGGACTTCTCTCGGTTCTTTTCTTTCTCCTCCTCGCCTTGCCCGTCCTGCTCGACATTTTGGGATCTCCAGAACGAGGGACCACCCAGGCCCGCTCCCCTCATTCGACTATGCTTTGTAGCGGATAAAACGGGGACTCCTCGAGCAAAAGTGTACAGGACAAATCGAAGCTCTTACCGTTGTGAAGGCGGCTACATGTACTTTCTCGACGCATGACAGCTGTCATTTATCCCGTTGTTTGGGGCAATGGATTCTATCATTTCAGAAGATTCGGAACTGGCTCGAATCGCGACGGAAGCGCTCGACGTGTGATCCCAATGAACGCGGATGTGATACGCGAGAATACGCGGACATCGCCGCGCTATCGCGAATTTGACACACACACATACACACACACATGCGCGCGCGCGCGGCGATGCGGCGGTGGTCAGGCTTGGAAAATCCGGAGATTGCTTAGGTTTGTCTGCTTTCACGCGTCAGTCACGCGATACGTGACGAGAAAAACAAAAGGGTGCGCGTGACGTAAAATCATCGGGAAGTTTGCATTTTTTTTTTCTTACATATCGCACACACAAGTGTCAAACGAATCAATCATCTGTCACTCGACTCGATTATTTCTTTGAAGAAAACGCGTTACGAACTTACGTAGATTAATTAATTTTACTTATATCTTTGAAAAACAATACATGAAAATACACACGCGCAATTCAGTTAATAAAATAATAATTATAATTCCCTGGTGACATTCGTTTCGGTGACAATAGGTTATTTGTGCGTTTCCAAAATTTCACAAATAAAGCTTCCGTGAACTCGACAAAAATATTGTCTGTGTACGTCTATTTTTTTTCATTGTCGCAAACGCGTGCGTGGATCGCGTGAACGACGCGTTTCTCTGAAACCGTTTCGAAATTTCTACGCCCGATAACACATACACTTTGTGATCTCCGGCCACCAACTTGTGACTTTAATCGCAACAGTAATCGTCATGTAAATTAATCGCACAGTAATCGTTAATGAAGCAAATTATTTATTTCCGATATTAACGGATCAAATCATTGCCAATATTAATCTTGTTGCTCTCAGCTTATCGCGGCGAAAACAGGAAATCTGTTCTTGTGCGTTCTTATCGGTTCTTATCACGCTCCTCCGGTTCCCGAGGTCGAAATCATCTGACTTGCGAATTGAATCTCAACTCTCTTTCTTTCTCTCTCTCTTTCTCGAAACTGCACTATCGATTTGACAATAAACTGCCGCACTTGTGCTATTTTAGTTTGCTTTCGAGTGGCTAATCGTATATATTGGAGAAGAAGAGCTTATCTCAAAGTGCTTCCGCGGCTCGCCAGACATTGAATCGCGAGTGAATTCTTGCACGGTAAAATGTTTACAAGTGTAAACAAACCCGATTGTTTAAATGACCTGTGTTTGTAATCGGAGACGTAGAAAGTTGAAAGTTCGCCGCGAGAGTTCTGAGCGACAAGCGAAAAGAAAACGTCTCCTAATAATCGTAAGGCATTACTTTTTATTATTTTTAATAAATGTTAGTACGTGTTAATTTTTGTGATTTACTATGTATCTTAATTTAATTATTTGTATTTTTTGTTACACATATTTTAGAAACGTCTTCTGTCGCTCGCAAATTTAATTGCGGCCTTAAAGTAAAGCCGCGCATCAAACTCTCTGACGTCAGTTTCCACAATAAATACATCACTGAGAGAAAAGTGGTTCCCCGACGATCCCCATCGCGCAACGTTTTACGACGGCTTCGATGCGCGAGACACAACAATTGAGTTCAGTTATTCAGTTTGTACGCGAGAGAGTGACGTCGGGGGGATTCGTTCAACCCATGAATCAGCCCCTACCGCGTGCGCGCTGCGTGTGTGAATCAACCCTTAACCCGCGGCTTCGTTCAATTCTTTTGATTCATGCACGCCTTCGTCTTGTCTGGTCTGTAACCGCGTCTGCTATTATTTTTAGCGCGTGATCACCGCGCCGCCGCGAAGACGAGAGGAAAAGAGAAAGAGAGAGAGAGAGAGAGAAAGAGGAGGTCGTTTGTGTGAGACGATTCTAATGTCGACGCGGAATATATTAGATCATCCCGCGGGCTTGGCTTGCATAATTATCGGCTCTTCTGTCACCAAAGGCCGACTTCGCGCGCCGTTACGTTGCGCTCTCTCACCGCACCCTAAATCGTGATACTCATCGGCATGGCACGCGCAAAATTGCGAATGAACAAGAAGACACGCGACTTACGAGATCGCGCAACAATCCGAAAGCTTCCGCCTCTCTTCTTGTGAGAGACGTTTTTCTAGCGAATTGCGATTTCGAAAAATTTAATACCGGTTGTGTGAAATAAATAATTACGTCCGACACAATAAAAGAAAACAAACTATTGTATGTAAATATGTGTGTACACAGAGTGTATACACGAGTATATTATATTTATGACAGACTGGATTAAATAATGTGCTTGAAACGTTATTTATTGATAATCGCGTCGATTCAAAGGTGCGAGAGAGCGCAGTGACACATGTGGAAACTCCTACTAACGATCGTCCATCCCGATTGTCCGGCCAAGAAGGAGTTTACACGAGGAAAGATCCTTTTATTCCACGCGGGTAACAATCCAAGAAAGTCTCGCCAGGATTTTCCAATTGTGTCACGAGCTGTGTGTGTGTTTGCACCAGTTGAGTGTGCCAGGACACAGTCCGACGGGTATGAAACGGAAAATATAATATAAAAAAAAAATTGAATTGATCGACCAAGCTGATTAATCGGTACTTTGCACCGCGAAAACAACAACGGTGATGATCTCGCGTTATATTTTGAAGATTTTTCTTCTGCGTACGCGCTTTTAAAAGAGATATTTTTATTTTTTATGAACTCTCTTCGAATGTCCTCCGGATCGGAAATAACACGGGAAAACAGCTTAGTTTTAATGTCAGAAGGCTTGGTGACCTTTCCGTAAGTCGATTGTTCATTTCGTTCATGTCATCGAGTTCTCGTACAGTAACGTTGTTTTTTTTATCATGAGCGTTAAAAAAAAAATTAAAAAAAAATTCACTTTGGATTTGCGAGTTATCGGTTTTATTAATGCGCTTCAATTGTTATTACTGCCCGGCTTGCAATATCGCGTTTATTAATATTTACTTTAGTATTCATCGTCCGACAAACGGTCTCACGCGCGATCGCGATGACTCTCTAAAGAAGGTTACAAATGACTTGTAAGCACTCAATTATTCACGCGGATGCGCGACGTTAACCCTCTGCGGTTTCTGAGGGTCAATAGAAATGATGCTTGGCGACATTGTCGTCTGGACGGTATCCTTGTTTTTAGATTTTTTTCCAAGAAGACAATCTTAGAAAAATTTCGTGTGATAGCGCGCCGCGACCCGCTTCCGGACGTCCGTTTAACGACACGGAAACTATTTCACCAAGATTCTTTGAAGCACAAATGACCAATCTAGATAGATCGGATATGATCGAATCAATTCGTCATTCATCCCAACAAATCATTTTTTTATATCATCACGAAGCTTCCGAAGCGCGGTGCGATTTTTGTTCAAATTTTATTTCGCGTTTTATCGCGCGGAAATAAAAAACGTTTGCTATCGTGTGACCGAGTAAGAAAAATTTGTCACCGAATTGTTTTGTTTCGCCAACAAAACGTTTCGTTTTGCGGCAAAACGCAAAAATCAACAGGCTTGGTTTTTCTTGCTAGCTGCATGGTAACTAACCTTCTCGCTGTTCTAGCACCTTATTTCTTGTGCGTTCGAGACAAAAAGTTTTCAATAACATCACTACGTATATTTCATTGAATATATTGTGGTACACACCTGACAACAACCTGCACGTGTGTGTATTTTTTTTCTACATCTGTGGAACACATCGCAGAAGAAACGCGATGAGAGACGAACGTGCACCGTATGTACGTGCTATTAGACGTTACACGTTCGCACCTGCGACATACTCTGTTGGTTTATATACTCGTTGCGCGCGCGCGTCGACGAAGAAATCATTCGCCGACATCAAGGCAAACGACTCGCGAGGAAAATTAAATGAACAACACACACGCGACTCGTAAATAGTCCCTAATTGGCGATGCTTGACTTTGATGTCACGGTACATAATAATATGCACGTAAAGCACGTTTTGCCGCGCTCCTTGGATTGTTTTGCCGGATCGTATTTCACATATACATACATCTGCGACTCTCTTAATCAATTTTCCAGTCCGCATGCGGTACACAATTTCAATCAGCGTCATCCGCATTCGGCGCGCGAATTTTTCTGCGTCGCGAGAGTGTACGTACTTGCGTACGTACTTGCGCACGTACAACGCGCGATTCATTAAAACGCTGTTAGATAATAAAGTAATTTGTGCCTCCGCGCCGCGTAGGATGACCTTTCGACAAAGTTTGACGTCAGTGTACGGTGTGTGCGCGTTTGTTGCGCGATAGATCGTCGCTCATCACTCGGATTGATCCTGCGCGATTATTTGGCATCGATTCGCCATTGGAATTCCGATTGTCGGTCGAAACCGTGTTAGCTTTCGCGCAAATTTCTCGACAACGAACCAACCCGGCCACTCAGACCAATCGAACTTCCCCGAGACTTCAAGAGAGAGAAAGAGAGCGCGTTGACCTGTTGTTATCGCGTCCAATTTCTCGTCGCAACAATGTCGACGGTTATTAATTCGGCAACGTATGTAACAGCAACTTTGTATCGGCTCGCTGCTAAAGCAGGATCAGAGTGTTTCCTCTACAGATAAGAGCGCGCGAAAGAGAGAGAAAGTGAGAGAGCGAGAAACTCGAGCTCAAAGATAAGCCTACAACATAATATTGAGCTCTAGTAAACTTCGTTCATCTCACGTAACGTCTATCGCGTGTCATCGCGCGTGAAATAGCAGAAATGTTGTACTTAGATAAAATTTATACGCGTGAGAACAGAGTAAACAGGTCAGTCCGAAGGGACCGATTGGTTCCTGTTTGCAAAATATTATATATCGGAGATGCAATATATAGGGCGCGCATTGGGTTTGCAACAAAATTTGCGTAATTATTTATTACACTTTATTGTATAAGTTTTGACAAAAAGTAATTTTTTTTGTTTAAGTAAATATGAAAGTTGAAGATATGACTCACCTTGTGCTCGATCGAGGAAACTTAATCAGCGGGGAAGTTTTATCTGCAACAGAGAAGAAGACGCGAAGATGTGATAGAAGTTTTAACAATAGAATTTCTGTAACATACGTTCGCATTTGTGTTCGTCATCGCGTTTCCTCGAATCGCGCGAGAGAAATTTTTGACGTCTGTCGTCCGGCTGGGACGAGCGCGTCGCGCGCGAGACGGGATGTAAAGTCCAAGAGATATTTTCGAGCTTTATGCAACGATTACGTTACGCTAAGCAGGATATAACTCTTAGGAATATCCCCCGTATATTTATCCTGCGGTCACCTCGTTAGACCGTATCGTCAGATTTACCGCTGCTGTAATGGTTGCCTGGCGGAAGAAAAAAAAAAGTAGTCATCCTTCAAGTATGCGAGTGTATTGTTTCTTAATAACACGCCTTGAATCACGCTCGGTCGGTAGACTGAGTCTTTGAGATCGCGCATCGCGTATGTGCAATTGTTGTGTCGGTGCCGATGTATTTGCACTTATTGATGTCGCAGCAGAAAGGTCAGCTTGCTTTTGTTGCAGTTTCCACGGTTGTCGTCGGATATGCCACGACGAATTCGCACCTCTCTCGATCGCGTCGAAAGAAATTCGAAATTGGTTTGATTGCAAAACTTCGGTCTCTCAATTCATATTGAATGCGACGAGAAATATTTAAAGCGCGAAACCACAAAAAAAAAAAAAAAAAACTATCTGAGAGATAAAAACTTCGTTAATGATGGCGCGACAATAAGAATAATCTTATGTGATTATGTTACGGGAATAATTGTCCTACACAGTGACAATTGCAGTAACGTTATCTTTTGTTTTCGCGGAGCGGAAGTATTGATTACGTCGGGGGGTTTTTTTTTTTTTTTCGCCGCGTTAATCTTTCTCACGCGCAATGCCAGGTGGAGTTGATACGACGTACTCCGCGTGACATCGTAGATGCGTCGCACCTGTCACGGGGGACGATTCCTCGTAATCGCCATAGATTTCTTCAGAGCAACTCTCGCAGAGTTCGCGCTCGACTTCGCATACCGGTGAGCGAGGCGGCAAGCGGTTATAAAGTTGTGTGCAATATGTATGTATTATCATTTGTATCACTTCTCTTTCCTGACGCCGCATACCGAGAAGTGAACTTCGTTCTCGCGACCATCTGTTACGATGATTCTAAATAACTTACAATGTGTGACTCCACTCTCGATGGAGTGGTTCAACATTAATTAACATCACTGACGGAATGAGAGAAAGACAAGTGTTTGCAAACACTTTTCAAACACTTTAGTCGTGTAAATAACACTTTTTCCTACAATTGTGCGATTTACGCAAATCGCATTATTTACAGTCTTTAT